CCACCAGGGTCAACATCTCCAGCTCCTTCAGCTCCAGCACCTCCCAAGCCAGTGCCTCCAACTCCAGCGCCTTCTGCGCCAATGCCTCCAACTCCAGCTCCTCCAGCTCCAGCGCCACCAGCAACAGAGCCGCCAGCACCAGCAGCTCCATACTCCGTAGGGTCTCCAGCTCCAGCACCCCCAACACCACCAGTCCTGGCAACTCCAGTACCCCGGGTACGAGCACCTCCTGGACCAGTAGCCGCAGTACCTCCAGTAACACCAGCTCCAGCAGCAACGCCAGCACCTCCAGCTCTGGTAGCTCCACTTCGAAGGCGTGCGCGCCGAACAAACCACTCACGCAGCTGCTACGGAGATAGTCTCGGCGAAGCACTAGCAGAACCTCCAGACGAAGAAGCACCCTGAGGCTCAGCACCTCCAGACTCCGCACCCTCCGACGCAGCACCCCCAGGATCAACACCCCCAGTCTCAACACCCCCAGGCTCAGCACCCCAAGTCTCAGCACCCCCAAGCTCAGCACCCCCAGGCCCAGCACCCCCAAGCTCAGCACCCCCAGACGCAGTACCTCTAGCAGCACCTGAGTCCAGAGCATCAGGGGGTGGGTTGACCTGAGAGACACCTGAGGGAGCAGGACCTTGAGGAGGGAGGGGGTCTAGCAGAGGGGGACCTGGAGCAACGAAGAGCGGCAGGGGAGGGAGAGGGGCAGAGCAGTAGGGGAAGAGACGGTAAAAAGGAACCGACTTGTCAAACATGACGTCCTGAGAGGGGAGGACACGGCGTGAGGTAGGGTGGTAAAACTGCCAGCCAGGCGCGTCAGGGACAAAGCCAAGGAAGACGCAGGGAATTGCGCGGGCCGAGAGCTTGTCCGCGGACGGATCGCGGACAAAGGTACAAGAAACCCAGACCCGGAACACTGATGCATCGCCAACCTTCCCCGTCCAACGCAGTGTGGGCGAGGAGAGACGGGGCCAGAGGTTGAGCTGATGCGCCGCGTACTGAACCGCAAACGGCCACACAAAACGGGGAGCAGCCGCATGGATCATGGAGGTACAAGAGACGTCCATGACTAAGCCAATGCGGCGCTCAGCAATCCCGTTTTGCTGAGGTGAGTCCGGAAGCGTGAACGACTGGAGGATGCCCTCCCCACGACAAAAGTCCCTCAAGAGGTTGGAGGAGAAATCACCACCCCTGTCAGAGTGCAGACGCAAGACAGGAAGGTTCTGGCCGAACCGCTCGCGGTGCTGGAGACGGACCGTGCGGATCCAAGAGATCAAGACATCAACGACCTGACCCTTGCTACGCAAGAGGAAGACCGTGGTGTACCGCGTGTAGTCGTCAAAGACCAGCAGAAAGTAGCGCTCGCGGCTCTGTCCACTGACGCGGGCTGGGCCCCACACGTCCATGTGGAGAGTCTGCAGGGGAGCAGTCGTCGGGGGAAACGAGGAGGAGTGAGGAGCGGCGCACTGCCGCCCCTCGACGCAAGGAAGGCAGGGCGGGGCAGGCGAGGGCGGCAGGGGAGGAAGGGACCTGGGAAGACCAGAGACAAGAAGACGAGAGTGCATGCCACGAAGGCGTGGCAGGGAGGGGTGACCCAGGTGGTGGTGCCACAGAAGAGTCTGGTAAACAGGAGGCGACACGAGCAAGAGGCGGCTACCTGACCTGACGCGGACACCTGAGCAGACGCAGCTACCTGAGGAGGCTCGGTAGCGAGTGTGTACAGACTCAACCCTGGCCGACAAATGAACGTGGCCAGGTGACGCCCCGTCCGTGTGCACGTGCAGATCGACACACACTGACCCCCAGGAGTGGTGGTAGTGACCATCGCATCCTGGAGGGCAGCGGTTCTCACCAAGTTCGTAGAGAACGAGGGGAGGTGAAGACCTGACAGTGAGCCGGACGGAACCGCCGGACACGGGAGGACAGTGGAGGAACGGGCAACGACCGGGCCCCCAGAGGGGTCAGCCAGTCTGACCGGGACAGGTGCAGGGAGAGGAGTGAGAGTGGTGCTGTCACGAAAGAAATAGCGCGAGGCGCTTGAGTCCAACGTGAAGGTGTGCAAGGCCTGAGCAGGCGCAGTACCAGGGAGAGTACCAGACTCACTAGCACCTAGAGCAGCAGCAACTATACCTAGGTCAGGCGGCACACACCTGTAACAGTCACCCTCAGCACTATTAGACAAAGCATACATAGCAGAAAGGATGGCATCAAAGTCTAGGTCAAAGATAGCAGTCCTAGACCTAAGGAGATCAGCCCAGCGAGGGAGCTCGACGTCGTCACCAAACTCAGCACGCCAAGCGTCATTGAAGCAGGAGAAGCAGCGGTGCTGAGTGTGAAGCTTCCCGCATGTCTGACCAGCACGGTCACCCGTGCGAATGACATACGGGCAGCAGCCACTACCCCCAGACGCCCCACACTGCAAAAACCACTCACGAAGCTGCTGGGGCGACTGGTCTCGCTTCGACGCTGCTGCTGCTGACGCTGACCACCTCCAAAACCTCTGTTGGAATGTGAACGAATGAATGATTGAACTAGGAAGCAGGTGGGTACAAGTAGGAAGCCTAAAAGTGTTGTACCCTATAAGAACTACCCCACTACAGCCTAAACATACTATAGCATATAAGTTTGACACACCCCCATAGGCAAAGTGGGGGAGAACAAGAGGTCACAAGACCAGTCAAGAAAGGCAAAGCAAGCTCAGGGTGGATCACAAAGTCACCACGCAGTCTGAGCATAAGCAAATGGCCACAAGGCCAGTTCACATGCAGAGTTATATAAAGGAAAACAAACAATACAGTGAACACAACCTAGCAAGTGTAAGCATGCAGGTATATATATAAAGAGTACAGTACAAGCAGAGTCAAGAAGTAAGCAAGTGAGGCACAGTAGGTACAAGGCCTAGAACAGTACAGAAATGCTGATGATCACAAGGCTGAAGTGCCTTGGTGAAAACATCAGCAGTGTTGGCCTGTGAGGCCACGTAAGCGAGACGAAGCTGGCCACGCTGCTGCAACTCTCGAGCAAGGAAGTAGCGCAAAGCAATGTGCTTCGTTCTGTGCTCCAGTCTGTGCTCCTGACACAAGGCCAGCATGGCCTTGTTGTCGACGTACAAGACTGGAGGAGAACGAGGCGCCTCTCCCAAGTTGGTCAGCAGGTAGGTGAGCCAGCGTAACTACTGTGCAGCCATGGCCCCAGCGTAGATCTCAGCCTCACAACTGGAGCTGAGAACAGAAGAAGAGCGGGTAGACCGCCAAGAGACAGAACCGGAACCAAGACTGAAGGTGTAACCCTGTGACGACCGCTGCGTAGCCAAGTCGTCAACCCAGGAAGCGTCTGCGTGACCAGTGAGGACAACTCGAGCCCGTCCTCCAAGCACGAGCCCCATGCACGACGTACTGCACAGGTAGCGCAACACCCTCTTCGCAGCATCCCAGTGCACCTTACGGTGTCGACCGGGAGCCACGTAGCGAGCCAGAAGGCTGAGAGGGTATGCAAGGTCAGGTCGTGTGCAAGTCATCAGGTACATGAGGCAGCCCACAAGCTCTGGATACGGGCCACTCGGCTCTACGGACTCGTCCAAAGGTGGAGCTGAGAGCGAGTGACCGGTAGGCAGCGGAGTGGACTGTGGCGAGGAGTACGTGAAGCCGAAGCGCTGAAGGACCTGCTGCACCATGTGTGACTGAGTCAAGGTAATGGTGCGCTGTGCTCTGTCCCGGGTGATCCGCAAGCCAAGATAGCTTGTCAGCTCACCCAGGTCTGTGCACGTGTGTCTCTTCTGCAGCTCGGACTTCACGTGGGCGAGTGCCTCAGTGTCAGCAGTAGCAAAGACGAGGTCGTCTACGTACACGAGAACGTAGAACGGTGGCATAGTCGTGTAAGTGCGTAAAAACAGTGAAGGGTCAGCAGTGGAAGGAGCAAAGCCAAGAGTAGCAAGAGTCGTCCTCAGTCTGTCGTGCCACTCACGGGGTGCCTGGCGGAGACCGTAGACTGGCCGCCGGAGGCTCCACTGGGTACCTGCAGGAAACGACCCAGTGAAGCCAGGTGGGCGGCGCAGCCAGATCTCCTCGTGCAGGCTGCCCTGTAGGAAGGCTGTACTGAAGTCAAGAGAGTGAAGCTCGTAGTCATGCTGAGCAGCGACGTGCAGCAGTACCCGAAGAGTGGTCATCTTCGGGGTAGGGGAGAAGGTCTGGAAGAAGTCAACTCCCTGTCGCTGTCTGAAGCCACGTGCAACGTACTGCGCCTTGAAGACAGGCGGAGAACCCGGCGGCCGCTTCACCCTGAAGATCCACATGCCACTGACGATGTTCGCCCCAGGCGGGGGAACCTCGTCGACGTAGGTGCCTGTGGACTTCCAGGAAGCCATCTCGGCGTCCATGGCTGCCTTCCACTGAGAGGAGTAGGGACCCTCTATCGCCTCTGCGTCAGAGCGCGGGGTAGGGATGTCTGGTGCATCCAGGACTCCCTCAGGGGCAAGCAGCATGGACACGAGATGGGGTACAGCAGCGGCAAAGCACTCAAACTCCTCCTGTCTGTCCTCAAGAACGTCCGTGCCAAGAGCACACTCACCCCCGACGGACGGAGAACAGACAGATGCAGACGCGGACTCAGCAACAAGACTAGTGGCGTAGTCTAGGCGACAGGCTGCAGCAAAGGCAACAAGCTCAGTAACGAGAGCAGACGCAGCAGTGGACTCAAACAAAGGGTCAGTGACAGCAGTGGCCAGAAAGCGCATGACAGTAGGACGAGCAGCACGAAGGGAGTCAGACTCCGGGTCCGGGCCATCAGGAAGGGAGGACGCAGGAGGAGACGGCAGAGGGACACGCTGTGGAGCAGAGGAAGGATGCAGAGTCATAGAGTGAGTGCCAGGGACAGGAGGAGGATGCGGACGCGTAACACGACGACCAGCGCGAACAGTGCGAAACTCAGAACGAAACTCAGGCGACTCAGAACGAAACTCAGGCGACACAGGACGCGACTTAGGCTCACGACGCTCCGTAAGACCTCTAGTCGGTCCTGAGTAAGGAGAAGGACCAGGCAGGGGAGAGGCCGGCTGTAACTGCGACTCTGACTGGACAGGCGGTGGACTCAGTAAAGGAGGAGTAGGACCAAGAGAAGGCTGTAGACCAAGAACCTGCTGAAGGAGCGGAACGTAGTACGGCCGTGGCCTCGCAGCGCCTCTAGGAACAGCAGAGACAGCACCAGTGCCCTCAGTGCCAGGGTCTCCAACTACAACTCCCGCAGCACCACCAGCTCCAGTACCTGCAGCGCCAACGCCAGCAGCACCACCAGCCCCAGCAGCTCCAGTACCTCCAGTACGAGCACCTCCAGGACCAGCGGCTCCAGCACCAGCAGCACCTCCAGCAGCACCAGCACCAGCAGCGCCTCCAGCAGCTCTAGCACCAGCAGCACCTCCAGCAGCTCCATCACCAGCAGCACCTCCAACAGCTCCAGCACCAACAGCACCAGTAGCACGGCGACAGTGCCGAGCGTACCACTCTCGAAGCCGCTGCGGAGAGAGGGGCTCCCGCCGCAACGAGACACCCAGAGAACCTCCAGAGTCAGCACCCTCAGGCTCAGCACCCCAAGACGCAGCACCCCCAGGCTCCACACGCTCAGGCTCAGCACCCCCAGACTCCACACCCCCAGTCTCCGCACCCGCAGGCTCAGCACCCCCAGACCTCACACGCTCAGGCTCAGCACCCCCAGGCTCCGCACCCCCAGTCCCCGCACCTGCAGGCTCAGCACCCCTGGCAGCACCTGAGTCGACAGCTACCTCGACCGGCTCGGCAGAGTCTACCTGAGACACACCTGAGGGGGCAAGACCCTGAGGGGGAAGGGGGTCTACCGGAGGAGTACCTGGTGCTAGGAAGTGTGGTGGGGGGGGGAGAGAGGCAGTGCGGTAGTGAAAGAGACGGTAGTAAGACACCGACTCGTCAAACGTGACGTCTTGAGAGGACAGAACACGACATGAGGTGGGGTGGTAGAACTTCCACCCGGGTGCGTCACGGGGGAAGTCAAGGAAGACGCAGGGAACGGCACGGGAGGACAGCTTGTCCGCTGAAGTATCGCGGACAAAAGCTCGAGATCCCCAGACACGGAACGCAGACGCATCGCCAACCTTCCCCGTCCACCTCAGAGTAGGTGTGGTCTCAGGCAAGGAGACACGAGGCTGAAGGTTGATCTGATGCGCAGCGTATTGAACCGCGAACGGCCACAGAAAATGGGGAGCAGCCGCATGGATCATGGACGTACGAGCAACGTCCATGACCATGCCAATGCGGCGCTCAGCAATCCCATTTTGCTGTGGGGAGGCCGGAAGCGTGAACGTCTGGCGGATGCCCTCGCACGACAGAAGGCCCTCAGGAGGTCGGAGGAAAACTCACCACTTCTGTCTGAGTGCAGACGCAGAACAGGAAGGTCCGAGCCGAAACTCTCGCTGAGCTGGCGACGAGCACCGCGGATCCAGTCGATCAACACCTCCGTGACCTCACCCTTGCTGCGCAAGGGGAAGACTGAGGTGTAACGCGAGTAGTCATCAACGACCAGCAGGAAGTAACTCTCGTGACCCTATCCACGGACGCGGGCTGGGCCCCACACGTCCATGTGAAGAGTCTGCAGGGGAGCCTCTGTCGGAGGGAACGAGGAGGAGTGAGGAGCCGCGCGCTGCCGGCCCTCAATACAAGGAACACAGGTGGGGGCAGGCCCCGGAGGAAGGGGAGGAAGGCACCGGGGGAGACCCGAGACAAGGGTATGGGAGGCCATACCTCGAAGACGAGGCAGGGAGGGGTGACCAAGGCAGTGGTGCCAAAGGAGAGTCTCGTGCGACAGAGGACGACACGAGCAGGGGGCAGACGCAGGACTAGACCTGGACGCGGCAGCAAACACCTGACTAGACGCGGCTACCTGACCAGACGCAGAGACCGGAGGAGGCGCAGTAGTCAGTGTGTAGAGGCTCGACCCAGGCCGACGGGTGAACGTGGCCAGGTGGCGGCCCGTCCGAGAGCAAGTGCAGTGGGTCACACGCTGACCTCCAGTGGTGAACTGATCAACCCACGCGTCCTGGAGGTCAGCTCCACTCACCAGGTTCGTAGAGAACGAGGGGAGGTGGAGTCCCCACAGCAAGCCCGACGGGGCCGCAGGGCACGGGAGAGCCGTGGAAGAGTGCGCAAGGACTGGGCCCCAAGAGGGGTCAGCCAAGGAGACTGCGACAGGCCGACTGAGCGGCATGAGCGTGGTGCTGTCTCTAAAGAAAGAGCGCGAAGCACCAGAGTCAAGTGTGAAAGTGTGCAAGGCCTCAGTAGGTGTAGTACCAGAGAGAGCAGACTCACCAGCACCTGGAGCAGCAGACTCACCTGTACCTGGAGCAGCAGACGCACTAGCACCTAGAGCAGCAGCCTCAATGCCCGGGCTGGGCGGGACACTCAGGTAACAGTCACCCTCAGCACTATCACTCAAAGCATACATGGCAGCAAGGATAGCATCGAAATCAAGATCAAAGATAGCCACATTCTGCCTAAGTAGATCACCCCAGCGAGGGAGCTCAACAGCGTCAGGAAACTGGGCGCGCCAGGCGTCAGTCATGCGACCGAAGCAGCGCTGCGCAGTGTGTGGCAGCCCGCACGTCTCCCCACGACGACTGCCGGTGCGAAGAACGTAAGTGCAGGGACAAGCACCCCCAGACCTCCCACGCCCAGCGTACCACTCACGAAGCTGCTGGGCCGACGGGGTCTCACGGGAACGCGGCTGCTGCTGGCGCTGGCTACCACCAAAGCCTCCACACTGCGCGGCTGCACCTCGACCAGCACCACCGCCACCGCCACCTCCGCCACCGCTGCCGCTGCCTCCACCACCGCTGCCGCTGCCTCCACCACCTCCGCCGCTGCCTCCACCACCTCCACCGCCGCCACTGAAGCCCCCACTCCCGGCACCACCCCCACCTCCACCGCCACCCCCTCCGCCTCCTCCACCGCCTCCGCCGCCGCCCCCGCCGTCCCCTCCACCACCCTTGCTCCCCTTGCCCTTGCTGTTGTGGCGTCTCCCACTAGGGGCAGACGTAGCTCCGACCTCCTCAGTGCCAACGAGGTCGACAGCAGCAGCAGAAGCAACAGAGGGGAGAAGGGGGACAGGGGAACACCCCTCAAAGAAAGGGGTGCGACGGTCGCCGCGAGAAGCACCTACAGCTAAGATACTCTTCTCAGCTGCAACTAGGCGCTCCTCTAGCAGGTCGACAGTGAGTTCGGTGGGGCAAAGGGAGAGAAAGTGGTCCCTAACTGAAGAAAGGGAGTCAGGGAGGCGGGTGACTAGGTAGTAAAGGGTGATGTACATGGGGGGGGGGGGTTCTTGGCACAGAACTCAGTGGGAAGGGCAGCGCGGTAGCGGGCGTCACTAGTGCGGAGGTGAGCAGTGAGGTCAGCGACTGTGGCAAAGGCGGCAAGGTCAGGGAAAAGGTACGGCAGCATGAGGCGGCTGAGGGCAGCAGTGGCAGGGGAGGAGTAGCGCGCAACTACAGCGTCGTACAAAGACTGAGCAGTCTTGTACTGGCCAAAATGCGCGCGCTCAGCAGGCGGCAGGTGACTACGAACAGCAAGACGAGCAACAGCTTCACGAGTGGTCCACTGCGAGCGGAGCGTACTGTCAGCAGTGGCAGCAGGAGCAGTAGAGGGCGGCTGCAGGGCACAGGCCGCAACGGGGCGGCTGCTTGGCAGAGGCCGCGACGGGCGGCGAATAGGCCGCGACGGGCGGCAAAGGGGCTGCGACGGGCGGTGAATAGGCCGCAACGGGCGGCAAAGGGGCCGCGACGGGCGGCGAACAGGCCGCGACGGGCTGCAAAGGGGGGGGGGCGCGATGGGCGGGAGAGGGGCTGCGACGGGCGGCAAAAGGGGCCGCGACGGGCCAGGAACAGGCCAGGACGGGCCGGCAAGGAAAGGGCCGGCTAGGGAAGGGCGGGCGACTGCGTAGCTAGGGCAGGCGCGAGGCGCGCGTCGGGCAGGGCAGGAAAAAAATTCTAGTGGTGGGCCCTAAAAAAACGTTCCCACGATGGAACCTGCTCATAATACCATGTTGGAATGTGAACGAATGAATGATTGAACTAGGAAGCAGGTGGGTACAAGTAGGAAACCTAAAAGTGTTGTACCCTATAAGAACTACCCCACTACAGCCTAAACAGACTATAGCATATAAGTTTGACAGCCTCCACGCCGAGTGCAATCCCACCGCCACCAGTCCCACCGCCGCCACTGCCGCCACTCCCACTGCTGCCTCCACCGCCGCCACCAACACCCCCACTCCCGCCACCACTCCCACCGCTGCCACCACCTCCACTGCCCCCACCAACACTCCCGCTGCCCCCTCCACCACCCTTGCTACCCTTTCCCTTGCCGCTATGGCGCTTCGCACTAGCAGAAGCAGCTCCGACGTCCTCAGCACCAGGGACGTCTGCAGCAGCGGCAGAGGCGTAAGAGGGGGCAAGGGGGGAGGGGGAGCACCCCTCAAAGAAGGGCGGGCGCGGAGTGCCACGAGCAGCACCTACAGCAACTACACTAGTCTCAGCTGTGAGGAGGTGCTGCTCGAGTAGGTCAACAGTGAGGGAAGTCGGGTCAAGTGAGAGAAAGTGGTCCCTGACAGAGCGAAGAGAGTCAGGGAGGCGAGTGACTATGAAGTAGAGGGTGATGAACATCGAGGGCTGGTTCCTGTCAAGGAACTGAGCAGGGACGGTAGCGCGGTAGCGAGCGTCACTAGTGCGTAGGTGGGAAACAAGGTCCTCTACCGTGGTAAAGGCTGACAGCTCGGGGAACAGGTAGGGCAGAAGCAGGCGGCCTAGAGCAGCAGTGGCAGGCGAGGAGTAGTGAGTGACTACAGCGTCGTACAGTGCCTGTGCTGTCCTGTGTTGTCCAAAGTGGGCACGTTCCGCTAACGGCAGGTGGTTGCGAATGGCCAAGCGGGCAGCAGCGTCGCGAGTAAGCCACTGTGAGTGAGTCGCACTGTCAGCTGTGGCGGGAGGGGCAGGAGCGGCGCCTGACGCAGGGTCAAACAGCAAAACACTGTCATTAGAATCGCTCAGTAGGTACAGCTGCAGGTCGTCGAGCCACGTGTCAAACTGAACCTTCTGCCCTCATGATCGAACGCGAGAACCCTAAGCGAAGCCATAGCTGTGCAGCAGTAGCAGCAGCAGCAGTAGCAGCAGCAGTAGCAGCTGTAGCAGTCGCAGTAGCAGCAGTAGCAGTAGCAGCAGTAGCAGCAGCAGGGTCAGAGAGGCCAAGGGGCCGAGGGGCCTGGGACCTAGGGGCCGAGGGGCTGGGCCGAGGGGCGGGGCTGGGGGGCCTAGGGGCCGAGGGGCCAAACACGAAAGGGGGGGCCTAGGGGCCGAGGGGCCAAGGGGCCTAAGGGCCTGGGGCCTAGGGGCCGAGGGGCCGAGGGGCGGGGCTGAGGGGCCTAGGGGCCTACGGGTCGCGAGGGTGGCTAGCAGGGCAGCAGGTGGTGGGCCCAAAAAACGGTTTTAGAAGGGACCTGCTCTGAAGCTATGTCAAAGTAACGAACGAGAATGAATGAACTAGCAAAGAGTTGGGTACAAGTACTAACCCTAATTGGGTTGTACCCCTTATGGGCTACCCCACTACAGTCTACACATTGTAAGCTATATATAAGTTTGACAGTGGGCCCTTCCTCTTGCGACGGTGGCTCGTAGGCGCGTGGCGACGTCACGATGACTCGCCACCAGTCCATGGCAGGGCCCCTCAGCAGCGAAATAGCGTAGCGAATCTCCGCTGCGTCCGACTCGACGTAGTTCGCGTCGAAAAAAACGTTCATCGTGAAGACCCACGATTGAACCGTCGGACCTCCACGTTGGCTCGGGTCGAAACAGGGCGGACGCTGCCGCTTGAGTGGCATTGGTGCCGTGATGGCGTACTCGCCACTTGTCGCAGCAAATTCCACGTGCCGACGGGCTTCGCGGGGCTCCCGCGGGCTTGGTACGGCCCTGTTTCTCTCCATGCCAGGCATTGAGTGAGTGGCGCCCTCACTGGCTACGCCTGAGCGCTGTCCCATGCTATCGTTCTGTGTTGGTGTGCCTGATGAGATGATGATCGGCTCCTCTGATTGTGGAGGTGCATTTATTGGTGCCAGTGCGTTCACTGTCGATTGCTGGCGAGCGGAGTCGCGTTCCGCCGTGAGTGTGGCGATTTCGAGGGCCGAATCTTCGAGTTGGCGTACAAGACGGTCGAGCTGCGCCTACGTCAGTGTCGCGAGAGTGATTTCAGCCATGGCGGGGGTGTCGGGCAAGCTCAGCGAGAGCCTCTGTCGTGGCCGTGCGTGCTTACGAGAGAGCACTATGGGGGGTGGTGCTAGTGCGTTGAGAGACGTCTACCCCCCCCCCCCCCCCCAAAATTGAGATAGTGGGGAAGCGAAGGTGTGGGTGCGGTCCGAGAGAAGATCGTAGGCTCTTATAACCAAGTGTTACGAGTGCAATTGAGTGAGCGAACGAGTATTGCACCATCGAGACAAGATTACAATGAGCGAAGGATTGAGCGAAGAATATATAGCAAAGCTACAGTGGTAACGGTAACGTGGGTTGAAATGGGGTGCACGACGGGCCTGGTGCCGAGGTTGGGGAATGTCGAGGCGGAGGTCCGGAGCGCGGGTTACCAACCGAACCGTGAGGCTGGGTCGCATCGTGAACAGTGGCGGGAATGGTGTCGAGGCGAATGTCGCGAGTGGTAACTGATTATTGTGGGGTGTTGTTGGCGGGAACAGTGGTGTACGCGCTGAGTAGGGACGCGAAGTAAGGAATTTTCCTTACAGGTGGTAACAAGGGAGACGTTTACTTTGGAATAGAGACAGGCAGCAATGCTGTAGGGAGCAGGTGCAGCGACGGCGTGGCGACGAGTAGATGCGGGGATGTCAAACTTATATGCTATAGTCTGTTTAGGCTGTAGTGGGGTAGTTCTTATAGGGTACAACACTTCTAGGTTTGCTACTTGTACCCACCTGCTTTCTAGTTCATCTCATTCGTTCCATATTCTAACAGGGGAAACAAGCTGGTGATAGCAACATGCATGCGTGGGCGACGCGCAAGCACATGCGAGCAAGTGCAGGCAACTGCCGCGTACATGCGACGAGCACGCGCGGGCAACGATCAAGTGCAGGTGACGAATTTTTAGCAGGCACAAGAGACCGTGCAGCGATGAGCAAGCGCGAGCTAGTGCAAGTGGCATGAGCTTTAGACTCAGCCCAGGCATATGCATGCAGCGACAGGGCGGGAGTGTCAGCAAGCAAGAAATAAGTTTGACGTAAGGTCGTGTAGTTCAAACAAAGGGGTGTAAGTGAAAAAGGGTGGAATTAGGGTCAAGGGGAAGACGAAATGGATGGTTTAGAATGGGGGGAGTCGAGAGGAGGGAAATATTGGGAGAGAAGTTTGAATGTTGCCTCTATACTTGCGTGATTGACATGTCAAAATTACAAAATAACTGATCATCTTTGTCAGACAACGCAAATTACGCATTGTCAATTTCAGCATAGGTCGCGCCAAAATGCTCATGAATGAGAGTACACACTGGAAAAAAGGCTACAAAATCAGCCTAAGCCTAAAAGAATTTGCTGAAGTTTTCGAGTTCAATATGTATGTGTGTATATATAACATAAAATTTCAGCATTCTATTTGAAAAAAAGGCCTGAAATTTCGCAGCCTTCTGGGGACCTGGTTACCATCAGGGCTTCTGTTCGCCCATGCAGGTGAGTTCGGGGATGTGGGTGGATGCACCTACACATGGTGTGCGTCTAGCTGGCCTGTGCTATGGTGTGGGCTGCTACCTTGTTGGGTCCTCTTCTGTCCCTACCTCCTTCCTCCTTTGTCCTCATTGTCTCTTCTCCCCCAACCTCCCGCGCACCTTCCCCCTCCTACTCCTCACCCCCCATCCCCAAACCCTCAACTCTTCGCCTCTACCCCCTCCCCCACCCATTTCCTTCACCCTTTTCCTGCTGCCGCCGCTGGTGCTGCTTCTTTCCCCTTGTCCTTATTGCCATTCCCCCATACTCCACCCCTACCTTGCCCTGCCCACCCTGCCAGCACCATTCGTTTTTCCCCAACCAACCCCCCAACCCGAATGGCTTCCCCCCTCAACTCCTTCCCTACCCTTCCTATCTCGTGCTCATCTCGACCTGACCCTATCATACCCTCAACTGCTAGATCTGCTACTTTCTGCCTCCTTGGCTTCGCCGCACCACCCCCGGTTGCCCCGACCGACCCCCCCTATCCTATCCTAATTCCTTTGCCACAACGCCTCGCTCTATCCCAGTTGGTCCTCCAACCCTAAAAGCATCCCTCCTTATCT